TTCTTGGGTTGGTTCTAATCTCGTTGTAGGTTGCGTAGCTACTATTGCTACGTGGTTCTCATCAAGATTGATCTTTCCTCTTCAATTTTTGATCTGCGTTGTTCTATTTTTGGGTATTCTTTTTAAGATTTTCAACTGGATTTGTGCTTCTTTTCGATTACAGTTAATATTTGAGGGTAGGATTTGCATTTGAAATTCATTAACCCCTATGAACCCATTTTGGATCCCAACCAAAATCCCCAAAACTCTAATGAAAACCAAGATTTTCAAAGTTTTAGTGAATATTTACACATCCAAAATTTAAGGGATGTTCCATTTGTGTTTCAATTTTGTATTTTGAGTTCTAAATTCGTTTTGAATTTTATGTTTTGAGTGTCCATTTTGAGATTGTTGAAAATGTGTTCTTTTTGACATTTTAAAAAATTGTTTTGAAAACACTCAAAACGCGTTTTGAAAATTTTGACTTGATTATAACTGAAAATACCCAAAATTTGTCATTTTGTGTTTTCTTTCTAAATTTTTAACTTGTTTTCAAAAACGCGTTTTCGAAAATAGAAAAAAGAATGCGTTTTCACTATTTTGAAAAATCAAAAATAGAAAACGGCTTGAAAATGGTAAAGAGAACTGTCCCTTAATATTTCCCAGCGGTGCCCTTTAAGAAAATGGAAATGAATCTCAGAATGAGGAAGTGGATAATGGCGGATCAATCTTCAGGTTTTAATGAACTTGAGGATGAAAATAGGCGATGGATTTAAGAAAAATGGTGGCAGGAAAATGAAGAGAAGAGTGGAAAAAGATTTTCTATTTGCTCAAGAAGAGAAGAACAGGAGAAAATGTTCCACAGAAATGTGAATCTCGTGCTTCAAAAAAGTACCGCCGACTGCAGTGGGAAGATGAGGTGGAGAAAGGAGGAAGAAGACAATTTATTTTTTTTTAGTTTTGATTAATTATTTATTTGGGACCATTTGTAATTTTTTGAAAATTTTGAGGCTATTACAATTAATTCTTTATTTTTCTTTTCTTTTTTTTTTTAAAAAAAATGGAAAACATATTCGTCATTTCATAGTTCTTTATTTAGAAATTAGATAAAAATGATGATTTTCGCAATGAAATGTCGAAATAAAGGTGAAAATTGCAAAAAAATGTAACGTTTGGACGTTTTGCACTCCATATGTAAGAACGTTATGTGATGATAACCATTTTCTTCATTATTAAAGAAGCTACAAGAAAGTTCTCAAGGATAATTTATTAAACCACCATTATTTATAATTTTATATGGTTGAATACGTTTTGATTTTTGCAAGTAAGTTATGAAATTTTCGTATAATACTTAAATATAAATGTTCAATATTGATATATTTGTCTCAAAATAAGCTTAAACTAATAAATCAACACGGGTTCAACCATAAAATGTGAGTCCATGTTTGATTCTCATACTTTTATAACTCTTTTTTCTACATACTCATTTTAATCACAAATTTTTTTCTACTTTTTAACTGGACTTTTTTTTCCTTAAAAAAAAAAACCTATTCAAACGCTTTTTAAAAAAAAAAAAAGAATGGCCACCAAACAGGTGTTGAGTTTGTAGTTTTATTCCTTATACAAGAAAATTATTATAAATAAATTATTCTTTTAAAGAGCCACACAAGCCGACTAACTAGAAAATTTGTTTAAGTATAAATTGATCGAATAGATAATATATTTGGATAAAATGATTATTATTTTTTTAGAAAATTTGGCTAAATAGTTCGATTTGGTTTGGAGTAGTTATTCACTGTTGTTGAAACCTAAATCGAATCATTTTCAAAAGATTTAATAATAAATAAATTATTGCATGGTCGGAATGTAATTTTTGTTTTAATAATAAATAATAAGTTGTAAAATAAACAATAATACATAAGAGCATATTTTAACAGATTAGTCATTTATCAATCTGAAAAGCACAGTAAAGATATTTTAACGACTGACTTATTGAGACCATTACTTAAAATAATCACTTGTGACGTAAAAATAAGCACTTTTTTTTTTTTAAAAAATAATTATTCTCATTTCTTGTAACTATCATAATTCGAACACATTCTGTCACGAAATCATAATTGTCCGAAGAATAATGCTAAGTGTACACAATTTTTTACACAATCTTTTACACCTCTCTCACATGGAAGGGGGCCCACACATAATAAAATAATCGTGGACCCCCCTTCATGTGAGAGAGGTGTAAAAGATTGTGTAAAAGTGTGTGTGTACATGTAGCATTACCCATANGTGCTCATTAGATCATTTTTGTATACATAAGAGCATATTTTAACAGATTAGTCATTTGTCAATCTGAAAAGCATAGTAAAGATATTTTAACTACTGACTTATTGAGACCATTACTTAAAATAATCACTTGTGACGTAAAAATAAGCACTTTTTTTAAAAAAAAAAATAATTATTCTCATTTCTTGTAACTATCATAATTCGAACACGTTCTGTCACGAAATCATAATTGCCCGAAAATCATATACCAGTCAATGCATATATTCTCCGTTGATTCGACGGTACCGAGATCGTGATGACGTTAAATCACAGCCGTCCATCGCTTCTCACTCTTCTTTCCGATATTCTCCTTCACTCTCCACGCCCCGAGTTAATCTAAACTGGCAAATCGTCGTTTATGGAACCTCGGATTGTGTCGACTCGGATCGTCACGCTACTCTTACTCAGTAATATTGCGTATAGATACCAATAGCTCAAAGGATAATGATGAGGACGAGTCTTTTCAGCCGTCGGACTATAAGGCAGGGTGCGATCTCGGCTGTGGGATCTGTGAAGATCAAGTTATTGCTCGCCTGTGTTATTGTATTCACTCTAATCGCGCTCGTCGGTCGGACGCCATCGTTTAAGGGATGGAAACACCATGATGCTTCGCTCTATCGATCCTCTCCTCCCAGGTCGGTATTACAATATATTCAATTGCGTTAATTATGTTATTTACAGAAGCGTTCGTTAAGTAGTTTACATTTATGGTAATTAGTTATTAAATAAGTTATTTAGGGTAACCTTTTTTGTCCGGGCACAATTAATAATATTTAATAAATTTCATGATAGTTATAAATTACGTAATTTAAATTGTAGCGTTAATTAGATTTTAGTTTTCTAAGTTTCTTTTTTATTATTTATTTTTTGACTACTTTCAATATCACCAGAAAAATGGAAATGTAAGTATGTAACAAAATACCAGAGACTTGCAGTTGGGGGTAATGAATTGATACTAAAAATGCGAACATGGTCATTATTTCGATTAAGATAGTCAGCTTGCCTTCTGTCTAATTTTTTCCTATTTTCCCATTCTTTGCTTCTCAAAGTAGTGTTATTCGATTTCCTTTTAGTAATTCTAGTATTATTCCTCGTTTTTTACAGCTTTTGAATTAGCACAAAGGCAATAACTAATGATTGTCACCCTTCAAAAGTTGGCAATGTGTATTGGTAGTATAACCGAGACAAATTTAAGGATAGTTGCCCAATTAGGAGACTCTCCATTTCTAGACTTTCCTCCTTTTTTTTGTTCGGGTGGGGGTGGTGGGGAAGCTAAATACAGTTGCTGAATGTCGGTCATGCAGTGGCTTTTCATTTGCAGCTCCTGATATTTGCATGACTGAGGCAGGATTTCTGTCAAATATGAGGCAGATCACTTTGTATGCCTCTTACATAGACTTCTGAAACAGACATTTATATTTTAGGTTCTATACCTTGGGAGTTCATTACATATCTGTCTTGGCAGTTTTTTGCCTCAGGCAATGAGGTGTTCCATTATTTAGTTCAACATCATGAGATGGACTCTTTAGTTCATTGAAATTTTAACTTCTTTAAGCATTTGGTAGAGCTTGCATGTATTGAAATTTTGGTAACTCTCCCTGGGAAGAGAATGATCCTTTGAACATCGTCTTTCGAAAAAGAATCTAAATGTTAAACTAATATTAGTTCTATTAAAATTGTGTAGACCTTTTGGAAAGGAAAATAAAAAATCTTAAAAACAATTTGAATCTTGCATTAATTTCATGTGTTGTACAGGAAAAAGTATGCCCTGTTGATTAACACGTGGAAACGAAATGATCTTCTGAAGCAGTCCATATCCCATTATGCATCATGTCCAGGGCTTGGTTCTATACACATTGTGTGGAGTGAGCCTGACCCTCCTGCAGATTCTCTTGTTAAATTCCTTAACCATGTTATACAGTCGGATTCTAAAGATGGTCGAAAAATTGAATTGAAATTTGATATCAATAAGGAAGACAGTTTGAACAACAGATTTAAAGGAATCAAGGATTTCAAGACGGAAGCAGTCTTTTCAATTGATGACGATGTTATATTTCCTTGCACTTCAGTAGAACTTGCTTTTAGTGTCTGGCAAACAGCACCAGACACAATGGTTGGATTTGTACCACGACTCCATTGGGATGATAGATCGGTATGTGCTATGAGCTGTTCAAGTATCTTGAGTAATTTATTCAATATAAATGTTGTGCCAATTAAATTTAAAAACTATGCCATTTGTTGATACTCCTGTAGATAATTATTGGTTCCATATTTCCCATTAATGAGAAAGAGAGTCCTTTTCTGGTACTGTGATAAACGTATGTCCTAATGAACCATTGTTCATGTGTCGTAATAAAACTTTAGTGCATTTGCTTCATTTTTTATATTATGATGGTATTATACTATTATTGACTCATGTCGATGTCCATTTAATATCAAATTGGGCTTTCAATGGCCCACATGTAGAATATTAACCTTTATCATATGTTGTTTTACCTTTGCATATTTTGTGCCATCATTAGTTCTTGAGTTCTAATGCAATAAGTTCTTAGATTATAGAACTTCATATCATGTTATGGTTTTGAATGAGGTCTAATATGTGATTACTGCGCATTATTAGTGCTTGAGTGCTGCTATGGAGACGTTTCTTATAGCTCTCTCGCTAGAATACTGCTTGACTTGATGATTACCTGTTTCAATGGGCACTTTTATTGTAGAATTAAATTTTCCAACTTTAAATGTTTACCTAGAAATTCTTGTCGCAGAAAGGCAATCAGGATAACTACGTGTACCGGGGATGGTGGTCTGTTTGGTGGACGGGTACATACAGTATGGTTCTCTCTAAAGCTGCTTTCTTCCACAAAAAGTACCTGAGTTTGTACACACACAGCATGCCATCGTCTATAAGAGAATATGTAACCAAGAACAGGTTCTTGTCGTACAAGCAATTCTTTTATTAGCTTTTTTTTCATTTATTAGTTTCCACTTTTTCACTTCCTTTCATTAATGTCCAAAACTGATACCTTATTTTGACGAAATTACTAGGAATTGTGAAGATATTGCAATGTCTTTCCTTGTTGCAAATGCAACTGGTTCTCCTCCCATTTGGGTAAAAGGTAATGATTTATGGGCTCGGCCTTCTTTTCAGTTTTACATTTTCTATAATGCTATTCTACTTCTATGAATGGACATTTATTGTTCTTTGCTCTGTTAACTAGCCTATTATTCTTCTTTGAGCGTGGCTGCGTGGATTTATGCTTTTGTTCTTGTTTTATATCCTTCAAGCCAAATGCAATGGGTATGTGGAAGGGGTTAAGAAAACACTTTTTTGAACAGAAATTGCATGATTCAAGTTTCTGGAATAATTAGCATACCATATATCTCTAGGACAAAAACAATGAGAGTAAGATGCTAGGAAGTAATAGGAATCTGTTTGTGAAGGCTATGGACTTACATGAAGTGGTGTGGCTGGAAGATAGATTTCTTTCTTTGAACTTGACTCTTATACGTGGATTTGGAATTTTGAAGAAGTTGAGCTTGTTTTATCACCAATTTGCTAGAAGATGATATCTTTAATGAGATTTTATCATCTAATCCGTATCTCTTGGGAAAAAGAAGTATATGGAGGCTCTTCAGAGCATTGTATGATGAATAAATAGCTCAAACACCTCTTGAGGTCTCATAAAATCGAAAATACTCCTTCATTTGGTTCAGAAGCAAGTACCCTTGATACTGACCAAATAATTAGCAGACACACCTCGTATCTCAATTTGTTAAGCCTATGTTTGGCCTCCATTTTTCAAAAACACATTTTTTTCAAATTCATTTTTCAACCACACATTCTCCCATAAAATAATACTAACAGAAAATTTTTCTTTATTTTTTAGCAACACATTCTCCAAAAAACAACTATTCCAAACTCATTTTCCCCAAAATTTCCATTAAAATGGAGCCCAAACAAGGGCTAATAATGTAAATCTCCCCACTATTACTAATTTTCCTGTCAACACGTGGAAACAAAAACAAAAAGACATTACTGTTCTATAGTATAAGAATCAAAATTGAACTTTTATGTCTATGTATTCACACAATAAATGAATATAAAGCTTCCTTGCAACTCTTTCTGTTTCTTCCTGTTGAATATTGAGAAATGTTTTGCTTCTTGTTTTCAATTTGTCGTTCAAGTTCTAAATTAGCCAGTGTTCAGATTCTAACTAGCCCAGTAAACTGGTCTTCATAAGAAAATTGCCAAAATATGGTTAATGCATGGCTTCTGGTGGAATTTTTTGTGTTTCTATTAATAAAATTGGTCTCCAGTGGTAATCTAACTATTATTTACTAGTGTGGGACTTTTGCTTTCTTCAAATGTTAGGGGGAACTCACTATTTTCCCAAAACCTCAAGAATTCAATTTCCAACTATATGAAGAGAGAGAATGATCTTAGCTGTGTTATGGGAATGTTCAAGATTATTGAGCATTAAGAGCAGTACAAAATGCTGAAGCTCCTAATTTATGGCTTTAGGATAATTTCAGTCTTATGCAATGGTGGTTCAACCTTATGTTTATTAACTTAGTTTTTTTATATTCATTAATGCTGCTTTCAAATAACTTTTTCTCGGTTTTTGCTCCTAAATTCGGTGATTCCTGATTCTGCATGTGGTCTGTTAAATCGGATTAGTTCCTAGAGTAACACCTTGCCTTCTTCCTATGTCAATGTTGAAGGACTCTTGAGAAGTCTAATTTTCCCTATCCTCACAATATTGCCAATAAATCTTAGTATAGGTTTAATAATAATTGAAGAGATAGTGAGGGCTCATCAATTTTGTTACTCTTTTGGAGTCTGCTGCAATGCATTCACTCTAGCTCCTGTCGTATGTCGTCAAATATCGTTTGATCCATCTTTGCTCTTTTAGAATAAATTATAGATATCTAAAAGAGATCTTTAGAAAACCTTTTACTCGATTAGCAAGTTGCTCGCCAACCTTATAAAATAAAGTTTATTATCGACCTTTTATTGTACTTTGAAATCAGTCCCCTAAAGACAGAACTATCAAAACTCTATTAAATCATAATCTAATCCTCTCATATCCAACTTTATGAAGCAAGGTTTTGTTTTTCAGACTTGTGTTCAAATTTTGAAAATGATGCATGTTTTCACGGGGATTATGTGACGATTTAACAAAGATTTTGATGGTCTTTCGGTCCTTGGGGATTGATTCTGCAAATATAGTGCAAGGTTGAGGACCAAATTCCTATGTTAACAATGGGTTGTGGACTATATATTTAGACATATCCGCATTGAGTTGCACTTACTCAACTTAATTGTGCCTTTACGGATGTGATGATGTAGGTAAAATATTTGAGATTGGTTCGACTGGAATTAGTAGCTTGGGAGGTCACACTGAAAAGAGGAGCCACTGTGTTAACTTGTTTGCGGCTGAGTACGGGAGAATGCCATTGGTATCAACTTCGATCAAAGCCATGGATAGCCGCAGTAGCTGGTTTTGGTGATAGTGTAGTTTTTGAAGCCTTTTTATTTCGCTAGTTTCCACTCGTTTAGTTTGCTTGTTCCCATTCTTATCAAGTTTAAGGTTTTGTAACATTAAATCGTTCAGTGAGAAACAGAATTCTTAACATGTTCATGTAGGTTTATGTCGATTATCTCATTATTAACAGAGAGTTTCAATTTTATACATCTATTCTTTGATATCCATGGCTAGGAGACTAGATGTCAGCATGGATACGGAGGTTCTCATGTGCTTAACGTAATGATTTTACTCTGCCGTGGTAATTTTACATAACAGAAATGAAAACACCAAAATGTTAACGAAAAAATTCTGGTCCGGTCCAGTTCGATTCTCAATTCTAGCTACATAACCAAATTTTATATACGTATTACATTTTAGCTACACAGACCATGCAGTTTCACTAAATTCAGGCTGTAGGAATTCTGCTACAGCCCCTTGCTATGATCTGTAAATTTTATTCACGTAATTATACTTGTACTCGAGCGTAATTAGATAATTGTGCTTCAATTTTGTTCAATTGAGTAATTATACTTTAATTTGATTTCAATCAAAGTAAGTAGTCAATAAATGATGATCATCACATGTGGCCAACTCATCGTTTATTAATTGTGATCGAGTTATCTGATTGAAATCAACTTAAAATATAGTTACTCAATTTGACAAAATTTAAGTACAATTACCTTGTAGCACTAGAGTGAGAGTATAGTTACCATGAATGAAATTTTCCCAGCTATGATTTCTACATGAGAGCTACCCCTAAACCTCCCTCCATTTTTAATCATATGACAACTCCATATAATTATTTATAATTATGCTTCTTATATAAATCCATTCTTCTGAACCTGGCAAGGTTAGGTAAGAAGTTTCACTAATCTCCTGAGAGTTGGGTACCAGATTTTTGTTCTATGATCATACCAGCTTACAGTTTCTCTAGAAGTTCGAGGTTGAGCTACTCGGTTGGGAATTGTCGAGGGGAAAACATGTCTCATCCCCGCCAGTGTTCCATAAGAAATTGGCGTATTTAGAAGCATAGTGAGAATTGTCAGGTTCGACAGCCAGGGCTTGTAAATATCTTTCTTCTGCTGCCCAAAAGTCCTGCCTAACTTTCCATAGAAAGGTGGCATACTGGCTCAAGGATTCTGCATCTGGTGGTTCCACTTGTACCGCCTGCTTGAAGCACCGTTCTGCCCTGTTAGTGTCAGAAAGTAACTAAGTATATATGAGAAGTTGAGATAAACATATTTCAATTGCATCCATTGCTCGACTACTAAGATCAAGTTGCAACTCAAATAAAAAACCATAAATATGTACGAGAGTTCCCCTTTCATTCTAGGAGTGACGGAGGGGATCATACCATCTAGTCGTTTTTGTTTCATACTTTTCCCGGAGGTCCAAAGAAATCTGCTATTAATAGGAATTCCCTAATCCTCCCTTTAAATAATCATGAACCATTTAGTTGATTTTCATATATAAGCTCATTTACATTGCCAATTATCTGTCACATTCAAAGTCTGCTTTTGTTCCCATCTAATGTTAACCTTAATGTCTGTAAAAGTTCTTCCAATTGATAAACCATGATATTTATAAGAAAACAGCATGGAAATTCGAGAATATTACCTATCATAATCGCGGGTAACACGATGCAGAAACTGTGCATAATTGCAGAGTAAAAGTGGGTTATTAGGCTCCTGAGACAAGGCAATCTGGTATAGTAGATCAGTCCTAAGATAATCCTCGTAGTCATCGGGTTCTAGCTCAACAGATACCGGGGAAACAAACTGTTGCATCATCTCACGATCAAGAATCACATTTCTCAAACCTGCTTGAATCTTTGTTGCTTCTTCCACCACTGAGGTCCACAAATTCAACTCCTCCTTACTTCTCAAAACTTGATCATCTACCTGCAAATGTTCTTCGTGAAGAACTTCTAGATGTCGACTCATATTTGATGGATTGCTCTTTTGCTCGTTCTCACCCATGCTCCCTGAAACTCCACTGTCTAAAACCAAAGTTGATTCTACAGATGATGATCCTAGTAAGGAGACTTCTGTAATAAAAACGTTGTGGCACGCAGAATATACGCTAAAATTTGCTAAAAGGATCATCACATATATCATCAATGCCGGAGTTCTTGAAAACACTTGCTGAAAAAGCCAAACAAATGTCGAATGCATTTCCTTCTGTACTCTAGCTATAATAATCTCTAGATCTTCATGGCACGACGCTTCTCTCATCTGTAATGCATAACTTTGAAGCTCGACTATAATGAAAACCATTGAAGCAAATGCTTTTTCCATCGAGCAACAAACTGAATCTTGAGAATATGTAAAGGCCTTTTCCAATTGTAGTTTCTTCTTTACCATCCTTAGAGAAAGAGGAAGATCAAAGCTATTAGCCTTATGTTCAAGAGTCGCCCACATAACAGCCTTACGTTCTGGCCAATCCGGGGCCTCTGGTCTGATGCCGAGCTTCATCAGTTCCGTGAAATCAAATTCCGATTGCAAGAATGAATTTTTAGTCATTGCAAACTTACTGGTAGGACTAATTTCAGATATTTCACAATGTAGCCTGTGACTCCTATCTCCTTCACTCTCTTCCCCTTCCAATAGGTTAAATTTTTCAGTCAATCCTTCTACATGATCGGATGACTCTTCAAAAAAAATATAACCCAAGTTCGAACAACAAGATCGTTTAACAGTATGCCCTCGGGAAAGAATCCTGTTGAAAGTTTGAGAGTGTCGCATGTTTTCAGATGAAAACGGATTAGAAACGACAAGTCGACAGACTTTCTGGTCCCTTTTGTGATTTCTCGTCGAAGAAGACGAGGTAAAGAGGGACGATGATAGTGAAAAACCAAAGGATTGGGGGACAACATGGAGTGGACATTCTACAATATATGGAACCATTTCAAACCTCATAGTTTCCTAATTGCAGAAATGTCGAAGAGGAGGAAATAACAAAAAGGATTAGCAAAGGCTGAGAGAAAAAACAGTGGTTATTTCTATACAGAGGAAAAATGACAAAGAAATAGTCAAACCAAACAACAGAATGCCCGTGTAGAAAGGGCCTTTCTTTAATCACTTAAAAAGAAAATCTAGTCATTCTATGAATCTTGCTAGGATCTTGAAAGGGAAAGAACAAACTCTTGATCTTTCTTTGATTGCTATAAATTCAATCAAACCTGTGATATACAGATGAAAAAAGCAAGATTTTAAACATCATGACACATTTTTTGACCAAAACAATCAAAATCTGTACATATAAGAAACCACAATTTGTAAAGAAAGATCAAATAGTTGACTTACTTAACAGAGAAAAACAGGTTCATTTAGTAAGCTAATTTAAGGCAAATTGTGTCGATGGCCATTGGCTTCGGTTACTCTCGGACACTGATTTTCCAAGTTCCAACTCATGCGAAAGACTACACGCAATTGTATATGAGTTTCCAAACTGTAAAATACTTTAATCAGACAATATTTATTGAGATATAAGACAAACTACCAAGAAACTTGTATTGTCTATCCAATTAGGATCATAGTCCAGCCAATTATCTTAAGCTTGACTTACAACTTGATGTTTATCGATTCCCAAGTCAAGCCACCATTCGCACTTTAGTGTGTCTACATACAGAGAGAGAGAGAGAGAATATGGGATTTTGTAAAAGAGGGATTTGATATTAACCAAAGTTCGTACAGCTCCCTAAAGTCGCCATGTAAGTTCATAGAGCTTTGTGAATGTTTCTTTTACCAGAGAGAGTGGGGGAACAAAGAATGGGAGATTGTTCTGAAGATGAGATGAAGATATTTTTGTGTACAATTGTTCCATTTGTACATAAATTAATCTGCCAGAAAAGTGCCAGAAAACTCACATGGAGGTGGGCCCATGTGAGTAAAATATTGCCCAAAAAATGGGCCCCACCCGTGCGTCTTGTCCGTTGCATTTCTGTATTTTTATTTGAGTTATGCTACATGTAAAAAGTTGGGTTACAAAGTTGATTGATAAAATAACATTTACACCCATCATTTTAAAAATAGATTTTTAAATCATTTGAAATCAACGGTC